CAAAGTCTTAAATAATGACTTGTAGCCTGCCAAAAGGCCACATTACATAAACAGATACACAGTGTATCTATGATGTTATAATTTATCTAAAGTAGGCTTGGGAGGGTAGAGTAATAATGAAAGAAAAGTGGAGAAACACTTTTCTATGAGCTGCATTATATTCTCTCCAGCATTGCAGATTTTTGGGGTAGTTTTTGGGTTTAGCCAAACAAACTTTCCTCTTGCTCTACCTTTCTACCCTTCTCCAGTACGGGGAACAGCTTTGCTTCTTCTGAGTCCTTAGAGGGCTTCTTTAAAGAACATATAGTTCTCATGGATTCCTTGGCCTCAAAATACCTCAGTCATCTGAAACCCTTTCAGTTACTTCCCTAAGCTTTAAAACATTTTGCTTAAAATTGATTTTTGAATTTTGTCAATTCTCTCTTCTTTTCTTGAACTCTATTCAGTTTCTGACCCCATATTATTATTTCTCTACCAACTGCCCAGTTAGATACACTGTAGACTTCACAACCATATTTTAAAAGGACACTCATCCAACACCAGAAAATGATCCTAAATTCACTCCCAGAATTGGGTATACTTCTATGTAGATGGCCAGGGCTATTTTTCTTTTCTTTTCTTTTTTGTGCATGATAGTGGAAGAGTTCGATTATTCTCTACCTTTCAATACTTTGACAATTTTCAGTATGTTTTTGCCAAACTATCTACTTTAAGCAAAGCTCTGAAATTACCCTCTTGCTCTCTGTACCAGCGCTGGAGTCAAATGGGAGTATATTAATGTACTAGATGTTCAAGGTCACACTAGTTTCTCTTGCCCACCTTAACCCCACAGTTTCTTTCCTATTTGTATAGTCCAGGAATGAGCAACATCTAGCAGGCCTCAGTCATATAGTACTACAGTCGTGCTTCATTGCTTTTATCTGTTCCTTTTTATTTTTTCCAACTCTCATATTTGTGGTGAGATTGTCTGGGTCTTTTCTCTGTGCTAATTCTCCCCTGAAGATCACTTCTCATTGCAGTCAGCGCACTGCGCTACGATTAGGTTTACTTCCAATCAAAAGGGGTTTGAAGTCCTCCTAGTTTATTATCTCAAACTTCTCTCAAAGGTAAGTATTCCTTTCCCTCAGGTAAATGTTATTCCTAATTAAAGAAATCCACATGGACTGTTACCCCATGTTAAAATACCAAACTAAACTACTCATTGTCGATGTGCTCAATATACGTGCAGCTAAGAAAGTTATCATATCTCCTTAGGAGGTTTCATTATTAATGAAAATGTGCTCCGACATGGTGCCCAATGGCCAAGGTTTTGTTTAAGAATTATCCCCTCCCAGTAATGTAATGCCAGTTAAACTGGTGAACAGCTGGGATGAATAAGTTTCAAAATAAAGAGGAAGGTGCTACTAACAATCACATAACAGAGACAAATAATTTGGTGTCTTTCCTAATTACTGTAAGAATCTCAGAATATCTGACTCATCTTTCATTCAGGAAACAGAACCCATCTGTGCTTTATACAAAGCGAAGTTGTAAAGAAATAGAAAAACATTTCTGTCCTCAAAGAGTTTACAGTCTTTCAACAGGATATTACTTGGAAAAATAACTAAAAAAGCAAAAGTAATCTTTTAAAGCACTAGGGGTACATGTTGTCTGAATTATAAGCGAACGGACAAAGGATTTAAAATGCAAGGTACATGAGCTGAGACAGGATGTAGCATTTAGGCTGGGCATTCGGGGAGATGCAGAATTTCAGCGGGCAGAGGCTCCCTTAAGGGTGAGGCACGGGGTGGGGAGATCCTGGGTTTGTCATGGTGCCTTCCAGGAGTGATAGCAAGGCTGAGAAATCGATTTCCAACCAACTAAAACATGGCTAATAACATTCTAAAAAATGTGCAGAGTGGAACAAAGGAAAAACTACCTAAGGCGATGAAATGTGTGTAAGTCAGGACTACAAAAAAAAAAGGGGGGGACGTGATTCAAAAGTTAAAGATGCTAACAACTGGATTAGACCTTTGTGTAACCGTATGAAAAGTGAATCACTGACAGCACTGACTAATCACTAGATGCATGTAAAATATGCAAAAAGTGAAATACAGCAGAAATCCTTAGCACTAGTTAGGACACAGGGGTATTCATCTGTCCCATTTAGTAGCACCTACTAGGTGACAGTAGCTGCCCTTTGTATGTATTGCTGCATTTAATCGAAACAATGATCCCCCCAGGTAGGCTTTATGAACCCCATTACGTATGAGGAAACTGGGGCTCAGAGAAATTGAATAAGGTGAGTTGAGTTTGCTGGCACTCCTACTGTGCAGAATTTGATACCAGCTTTTCCCAGCTTGAGGCTATGTTCTTTACCCCATGCCAATCTAGAATGATTTGTACTTTAAGATAAATTAAGTGGATTCAAGGATGCCTCTACAGTAATTTCACCCTTGTTGGTTGCAATATGCTTTCATAAGCGACCCAGGGCAGGAGATACAGCCAGTCTTTGGCAGTGCGATGTATGTAGCCTGTGAGGCCATCGACGTCATGTGGATGAGAATAGCTGATGAGCAGAAGTGAAATGTCCATTAGGTTAAGCTCTTAATCAGTCCTTTTATAGAGATCAGTGGTAAGAACAGGGGTTTGGGAAACAGATAGCTCTGATTCCAAATTTGAATTCTGCTACATATTAATTACAAGAAAAACCCTGGACAGATGACTTTATTTCCTTGAACTCAGTTTTTTCATAGAGTCATAATAGTAAGTTAACAGTATATATGTAAGAAAAAGGGGGGGGCTTTGGTTAATGGAGAAGTACATCATTGAAGCTAAAAAGGCTTTGTCTCATTTAGGCATTAATTTAGCTGAATGGTTTTGGGCAAGTCACAAACTCTGAGCCTCTTTCTTCTGTGAAATGTGGGTAGCATCATCTACCTTAAGGGTTTGAGTGTGAGACAATGTGTGTCAGGTCCTAGAGCAACTAAGACTGTATTATACCACCACATTAAATCATTAACACAATGCTTGGCAGAATACTCACGTGTTTCCACCCCACTTTTTAAAAACTAGGGTTTCATTATAATGCTATGGGTGACTATAACTTAAAAATACCACAGACTGTTAATAATCATAACAGCTTGATGAAAACTGGACACCTTACAAGTTACATATTGCTAACTTTGTATTCTTTTTAAAAGATAAACTGATAAGCTTCATCTAAGTGGAAAATCATTCATTCTTTTCTCTTACAGTCCCTATACATTTTTTTCACTAAAAGCATTTCCCTCTAAAAAACACTTTTCACTGAGTGCTTAATGAAACTGAGAAATAAGAAATTAGTGTCATTCACAGAGGCTTTGATAATTCTATTCGCATTGTTAAACATGCTATGGGATAATGACTGCTGCATTAGTGGGCCCTATCCATGGTCAATATTTCTTATACGGACCATGAAAAATATTCATCCTTGCAGTTACTCTCCATCTTCCTCTCAAAAGCAAACAAACAACCTAACCTAGAATGTTTACATAAATGACTCCAAAGTAAAGTGAATCAGGATTACACCCCTGTCTTCCCTATTTAAACAAGTCACCAGAAAGGCAAACATCACAGATTATAGTTGTAATCTGTTATCTATGTTGACACAGCCAACACATAGTTTATCGATCGGAGCAAATCTTGCGAAGTTCAGGTTTCATTTTGGGTTTACACAAATCGTTTAAAATATCTAGAGAAGGCGCACACACCTATATAGGTGACTAGTCCTGGAGGTTTTTCAGTGTTGTGACCACCAAAAGGTTGCCACCACTTTTCCTCCTCTCTCATTTAGATGGCATTATTAATGCCCTGTCTCTGACGAAGTCGCATGCCTGCCTGAGGAAACTACCACAGAGCAACCCCAAATGTGACCTGTGCTTAAGGCTACATTTCCTACGGTGCCGAGCGCTTGTGAGAAGTGAGAGACTAAAGTAGGGCTGCCATTTTCTTTACCTATTCCTCTCCCTTAAGGCTGCGTTCAATAGGGTCCTCCGAGCCTCCCCTCGGTCCAAAGCCAGCACTCCCGCAGATTGATTGATCCTTACTTTTTACTTTAAGGAAGATGGGGACTTGAAAATGTTTCTTAACTGGTGTTCTGGCAGTTTAAAATGCTTTAAAGGAATTTGAAACCCAGAGAAGTTTGGCGCTAACACTGAAATATCCATTCTAGGATGTGGGCTAGGTGTCTATGTTCTGAAGGCACTGGAATCCGATGCACACCGGCCGGGGTGGGGTGGGGGAGGGAAGAATTGGCTGAGAGAGGAAAAAAAAAAGGAATGGGTGTCCGCAGAGCACATCCTAAGGTTCCTGAGTTGTTCACATCATCACTAAACCACCTCGTTTCTGGGAACCAGCAGGAAAGGAAAAGACGAGCGAGCCTGAGTTTGGGTTCAAGGCAGCGGTCCTGGCCTAGACACCTAGCTGGCCGGGCCCGCGCGATCCGGCTCGACCCTCTCTCCCCTCCGGTCCTGCAAGGGAGCGGCATCACTCTCTCGATCCCTTCAGAGTCCTCCAAATTCCTCTGCCCCCAAAGTGTTAACTTCAGGGGCTCGGGGATGGCAAGGAGTCAGCAGACCAGAAGGGGCAGAACCTAGGGTCTAGGGGCATTTTTAAGGTCGTAAAGAACCACGACCACCGGTCGGCCTCGTTTTCTCCTAGTCCCCCCACTCCCGTCCCCCCACTCCCATCCCCCAAGTCCGCAGAACCTGCCGCGGCGGCGCTGCGCTTGGCGCCAGGCTGGGGACCCGCGTCCGGAAGCTTGGCATGGGTGGAGTAGGGGTTGGCGGGTCTCTGAGCCCGAGCCGCGCAGGGCTCAGGGATCACACACAGAGCAGGCGACCCCGTTCTGCCGAACCGAGAGCCGGGAGAAGGCAGGGCGAGCGAGGCGGGGCGAGCCCTGGCCGCAGGCACCTAGCGGTCCGAGCCCGCGGTCCTCCGCGGGCCGCCCCTCTCCATCCCTCCGCGGTCCCCGCCCTTACCTCTGGGCGCGAGGGTGCCGACTGCAGAGGATACTGGGGAGCCTCGAGGTGTCTCCCGGCCGGGTTCAGCGGCGGCCAGCGACAGCAGGGTCGCCCGCGGGGCCGCTTCTCATGGCTTGTCGCGCCCGCAGCACTGCACCCGCGGCCACAGCGGCGCCTCCCTCCGGTCCTCTTCGCGGGCTCGGAGCCGGGACTCAGCTAACGCCCCGGCCCCGCAGCCCTCCCCCTCCGCCTCCCCCGGGCGACGGTGCCGCCCCCAGCACCGCCCCGCGCGCAGCGGGGCCAGGCGCAGCCAGCGCCGCCCAGCGTCCGGCCCCGGGGTCGCCGCCGCCCGCCCGCCCGCCCGCCCGCCCGTCCCGCGGTCCCAGCCCCGCTGTGACGCAGGGCGCCGTGCCTGGCACTTCCTCCCCTGCAGAGACCACCCCGCGCCGACCGGCCGGTGAGGGCTGCCGCCCGACGCCGGAGACTTTTTTCAGGATGTGGGGTGGGGGTGGGGGAAATCGCTGCGCAGCTTCCCGGCGGGGTCCCTCAGGCCTCCGATCCGCCCACCTGGCGGCTCTGCCCTGGTAATTGGCTAGGTCTGGTGACTGACCCCCACTCCCCATCCCTAACAATGCGCAGAATACCCCAGGCTTCTCGGCGCGCAGCGTCGGCTCTACTACCGCAGCTCCCCGCCCGGGGTAAGTTAGAGGGGGCAGCTACCACTAAAAATAGCCCTTTGGGGAACTCCTAGAAAGGACCTGGGTCAGAGTAGAGGTAATCCCGTCTCCTCATTTCCCTCCCCTCGTAGGAACGGAAGGGTGGGAACGATCGTGGGACGCCTTGAGGTCGACGCAGAAGGAGGAAGGCAAAAGCTAATGTCCTTGGACCATGAAGCCCATCAGCCTACTGACACCCCAGTCTCCTCTCCGGCAGGAACGCCCAAGTTCCGGGACACTGACAGCCGGGCTCCCTGATCTCTTGGCAGCAGGTTCCGGGACGCTGATACTGAACGCGCTGCCGATAAGTTCAGGGATATGCACAAAGGTGTTGACCGTACAAGTCAAAACCACCTGTGGTTTAAGAGTGTGCCCGAGAGGTTCTTTCTTATTGCTCTGAACGACGCTTTTCTTCTCCACACTTCCCCACGCAATTTCAGGATGCAAAAGCAAACTCTGCCTTCGTGAAAGCTGACAACAATCTACATGGAAAATCTACCCAGGGAAGAAATGTACAGAAAAGATTACTAAGTAATATACACTCTTCCGGGATGCCTTATCAATACCAGCTATTCTAAAAGCACCAAAAATGAGTAATTGCCCTGTCCTGGCAGCCAGGAAAAGACCAATGTACATGAATAGAGCAATTAATAGACAACTAATCGTCTTTCACTGGTTAGTTTGTTCTTACACAGCAAGCCTGGAATGTGCAGGCACCTCCTCTTACCCATTTCTATTTCTAAGCCAAAAAGAAAATTTGTCCAAAGTTGTTCTCTTGGGCTTTAACTGCTTCACCCAGCTCACCTGGCAAACCCCTACGCTTTTGCAATTCCAGCACAGGTTTGTTTGTTTTTTTTTGCCACCCCCGCAGAAGACTACTGACAATCCTTCTAGCCCTTGGGCGATAGCTCCAACACCAGCCTTAATTAACCTAGATCGAGACAAAAATCTAGAGTGGGGCCTGCCTCCTAGACATCAGGTGGAAAAATTGTTGGAGTGTTTCTAGGGGAAAGGCAGAGACTGACATTAAAAATCTGCTAAAAATTTTGAGTACCTTGCAAGCCACCAGGTACTCTATGAGGTATGTTCAGCTCTTAAATGTATTTAAAGACTCCATGAGACAAGGAAGAAGAGCACAGACCTGCTGTGGTGAACCTTACCCTGCCAGCGCTCTCTGAGCACACCTCTGTCCCTCTTGCACCTTTAGAACCCTGCCCTTAAGCTTAGGCATCCCTGAAATGCTCCCTCACTACCCAGTGTCAAGCAGGAACATTCAGCCCTAGACTTTGGATTCAGAAGAACCAGGAATACTAACCTTCCTGTGTCAATGCAAAGAAGTAATTGCTACTTTTTAAAAAAATCGTCAGTGATCTCACTGCTATAGGGTACTGCGAGAATTAGACAACATGCTTAAAGCAGTGAGAACAGTGCCAAGCACTTTGTAAGCACTCAATAAATATAGGTGTTATGTACACTTACTACTACTCTTCGTTGCCCTGAAAGCAAAAGGACTGAGAACAACAAGGTCTGCGAATGGGATATGAACCCCACAAGTTGAGTCTCCCCACTCTGTCCCTCCATTTGCTTAATTGTAATAGTTTTTGTCTATTCTGTGCCTGTTTTCTAATAGGATGAACTGAATAGTTCTATGTGTAGTCAGGCAATTCATATATACACTAAAGTCTGAGGGGCACTAGTCTGAAAACCACTATGTAATACTGCTTAAGTCACTATTTTTTAAACTTTATTTTACAGCATACAAATCATAAGTCTAGTCGCCTCACCTCAGTCAACCTAAGTCAACTCAATATTCACACTTAGTCCTCAGGAAAGCACCAGGTGAATTAGCCTTCAGTCAGCCCACTTGTGTGAATGCTGGACCCTGAGTGTCTCAAAAAAATATAAGGCTTATTTTCTAGCTCGAAGGTGTTCACAGGGCATGGGAAAGGGAACCTGCCATGCACATGAATCATATTAAACAATTTCAAACTAAATATAATTGAAGTTCAGAGAAAAGAGAGGGCACTGTGTATCTATACAGAGCCACCATCTTGACCTTTCACTGAATACCCAATTCTTTAGGCCAAAGTTTGACATTCTAGATGGCCTTCTAGGATGACTTCCACACTTAGACTCTACATAGTTACAAGTTAACCATGTGCTGGCTGGCAACAACAAGCAAAGGAGATGTTCCTGGGCAGTGCAGGGCCACGATGATACAGAGAGATCTGGGCTCAAATCTCAAATCCTGGGTCCACTATTCACCAGCTATGTGACTGTGAGCTTCTTAATTTGAACCCCAGTTCCCCATCTGTCTATTGGAGCATTGATCCCTATTCTTTAAGGTTCTAGAAAAAAAATCTGCAACCCCTGCAGTGGGCCTATGGAAATGGTAATTATATTACATTGTTTGCTGTTAGCTACAGTGTTGCTAGCTTGCATGCAGGCTGGGTTATATCATTCCTTGAAGGCATACTTCAAAAGCCACCTTCTCTGTGAAGCCTCTGCAGCCTTCGGACAACTATAACTCTTCCTTCCTTGTGCTCTCACAGCACTCGCTATTTATCTCTACATTTTTGCTTGGCTACTGTAGATCTTTGTTTGTCTCTGTGTCAACACTTAGCATAGAACCTAGTATTACATGTTGAAAGAATGAGTTTTAAAGTGTTTCTATTTGTTGTACTGGTTCAGACTTTCAGTATAGCCTGTAATAAACTAAAGACTCTACAATGCACATGGATCCTCTAGCTCAAAGAGTTTACACACTAAAATGAACAATTATGTACATGTATCTGTTTAAACCTTGATTTTTCAGCACTGGCCTTGTTCGTTAAGGCCATTCTTGCTTTCTTTTGTATTTGATGTCAGTTGATCCTGCCTAGTAATAGTGAAAGCAAAATCTAAATTCTAAACCAATACTACCAGCTCTTGTCCACCCTGTGCACATCTGCTCCCCAGACTACTTCAGAGATTTGTGGAAAGGATCCTGTGCTAACAGAAAACATTGTTTTAAGTTTCAGTTCTTAACATTGTTGCAAACATTAGCACTTTCTGAATTAAGAGCTGCAAGATAAAGCCCACTTTCAGCAACAATTTTGAAATCTTTGATTCTATGCCATTAAAAATGCTATGATAGGGAGAATTAAGCCACCCCTAGAAAACGTCCTGTGAGACATTTGCCCAAGAGGTGATGTGGTCAAATGTGATCCTGACACTAAAATAGCTGGGGAATTTGTGCCAGAGGCCAAGGTGTTGGCGCCGATATCCTAAAAATTGAATACTACAAAACTTTAGGTCAAATCTTCTAAAATCATGCCTTTATATTTTATATTCCCCCAACACACACACACACACACACACACACACACACACACACACCACACACACGATAGAAGTGGTTGGTTCCACTAACTTGTGAGATACTCTTTGGAAATGATAATAGTAATGAATAAGCACTTACCAGGTACACACTCTGTGCTAAGTACATACTAGCTTTATGTATTTTATCTTGTTTAATGACCATAGCTGTCCATAACTAGGCAGGCAGTGTTGTTTTCTCCTGTTGACAGAGGAGAAAATGGAAGCACATTATAATCAAGTTACTAGCCAGAGGTCATGTGACCAATGGTGGAAGAGTTAGGATTTGGAGCCAAGCAAGTCTAATTTCAGAGTTCTGAAGCTTAACTCCTTAATCACAATGGCAAAAAGTATATTTATTTTTAAATTGAGTCCATCAAGTACATTCAGTAAAGTTAATGATTTTTTTCAGTAATTTTTGAAATTGCACTCATTTGTCCTTTTCCTAATAGTGTGAGTAACACCCTAAATGTGCCTTCATGAGCTGATTTTACAGCTCGCCTTTAACTGAAAAACGTTTTATGATTGAAAGCAAACCTTTCAATGAAAGGTCATGAAATGTCTGTGGCTCTGACTTTAAGCAATAAGAAATATACCAGGCAGAGAGCCTCATTCTTAGAATCATCATTTATATGGGCCAATGATAAATAAGTAACTTTCACATGATAGATATGCAGTACAAGCTTAAAATAAAAAATGAGTTTGACATTCTCAGCAGTGATCTTTTTGTACCCCAAAATGCCTGCTATAACTAAACCTTACTAAGTAATATTTGCTTGCTATTATTTAGCACATACAGTCACCGATTTAAGAACTTTCATGTATAATTAACTCATTAATTAAATCTGCAAATGACTGGCCCTTGTCAGGAACTGAATTATGCTAAAGACAAGGAAACGCTCTTAAGGGGTTTGGAACTTGCTTACTTATTAAAAAATAGGTTAAAAATACGCTCCTAGGTAAGGTAACTCATTTTTTCACAGGAATCAAAATTTTCAGCCATTTCCAAACACCGTATTATATTGTGCATATAGAATGTGCTATAGAACATTTCAGGACCAGTTTAACATTGACTTGCTTCAAATTTCAGTGATATCAGCCCTGAGAACACACATAA